TAGAACCAGGGTGAGGGCAACCAGCAGACAGACATGAAAGCCCAAGGGTTTCTCTACCTTTTCTCGCTTTACGGGTGGTTGGAGTATTTTCCTCTACGGGGGGAGGGCTGTGTTTTATCGCCCCAGTCACACGCCTCCCCTGCCACCTTCCTGAGAAGCAGGACCCATGCTGTCTCCGCTTTGTAACTCGCTACAGTGGGTAGCCCAGCAGCCTCCGTTTCTCATATCTCCAAGGAGATCTGACATAGTATTCAAAATCCTAGGAGGCTGGTATGACAGGACGTTAAACAAGACTCTTCCTGCCTGAGTAACCGACACCACAGTGAAAGTGCGGCACTCAGAAGCAGGATTCACACAGGAAGTGGCTGAGCACTGGATCCATGTCCTCTGAAATGTCTGAGTCACACCGAGACTTTAAGACGTCCCAGAGAAGGGAGAACGAGGGAGGACTTATAAAGAAGTTTCTTTGGGGAGAAGTGTTGCCATTGCCATCAGCCAACCATGAGGCTTCCACGCACCACTCTGAGAACCTGAATTGTGTTCCTTGCAGGTGGAAGGCTCGGAGGACAAGCGCCTGACTCCTGCCAGAGACGGCCAAAGCAACCCGTGGTGATGGGAGGCAAGTGGCGTTTGGGTTTGACCTGTACACCCAGAGGTGTCAGACCAAAGGAACGTGAGTGTTCCCCAGAGACCAGATGGAGGCAGCTCGGGAGAAAGTCTGTGTGGGGAGTCTTATGTCCTGACAACAGGTCCCTCTGGAGGGGCAAAAGGACCCCAACAATACAAAGCTACATTCCTGGGGGCTGACAAAGGAGCGGCTTCCACCAGCTGGAACAGAGGGGCATTTGCTTCTGTCATGGGAACTGCAGGAGAGGGGACTGCAGAGAGGCATCCAGGAAAGAAGGGCCGTGAATCAGCATTGAACATGCCCAGGTCCCCAGAGACAAAGCCACCAGCAAGCACACTTCTCTGCCATCTGTCCTCCTTGCCCACCCCCTTCCACCTGGGCAGCAGAGGGGCTGACACCTCATTAGCTAGCCCCACCCCCCACCCCCATATAGCCAGCCTGAAGTTGGAGAGGAGAGGAGACTGGCTGTTAAATCAAGTCCAGAGTTTTGATTTCTAACTCAGGACAGGCATACTATTTCTCAATTGAGATTCTGTCTGCAACCTAAAGTGATCAAAAGATTATCTGTTACTCAACAATTGAGCAGGAAGGTCTAACTCAAATCAGAGCTCTCACCCCAACCGGTGACTCCCAGCCTTGCCTGCACACTGGAATCACTGGGGATCTAAAAATAAAAACGCTGAAGCCCAAGCCTCACCCAGGAGCCACTGAACCAGAGTTGCTAAAAGTAGGCCCCAGGAATACGTACTAAAAACACAATAAAATAAAGTAATAATTACAACTCTCCAGTTGATTCTCATGTGCAACGAGGAACAGGACGCGACTCCTCTAAGAGCCAGAGACAAATCCTAGTGAATAAATTTTAAAGGGATGAAGGAAAACAAAAATGAAATAAAAGTAGTTTGACTGTCACAAGGTGTACTCTTCAGTGTGCTAGAAAGATAAACACTATAGTTCTCCAGATTTCATTTTGAAGCTGAAAGTTGCATTTTGTGCTTCAAACATAACCCAAAACTGACCAGAGCTGAGTTCAGTTCTGAACGTGGGATCCAAAACAATCAGTTTAGTGTTTGGAGTTTGGCGAAGTCTTCCCTCCCTTTCATAGTTACTAGCCAGATCGCCAGTGATTGACAGGTGGGGAAGGCATTGGCCTGGTACCCAGGGTCCTGCTGACATCTAAAGATCTGATAACACCTGTCCTTCCTCATTAGAACCCTGATTGGGTTTGCTGTCAGTGTCTGCAAGGTCCCAACACTCTGGAGAGACATTCTATGGGGATCTTTACTGCCTGCCTACGTCCTCACACCATGTGGATGGCACCCTCTCGGCCTGGTTGATGCTGGCTCGAGGTCTCTCTCCACTCTTCCTCCGGGTGGAAAGCAGAGTGTCTGCCACTATGTGCAGGGTTTCCATACCACGCGGTACTAAAGGACATCTGGAATGTAATGACATCCAGTCAGTCCATCCTCTTCCATGTTCACCCATTTTTGTTTTAGGGACTTTTTGGTTATACTTCTGTTTTAATTTGGACACTTTTCATTCTATCTCCAAATAGAGAATGAATTCCCAAGCAAGGTGACCATCCCATGGAAATCTCAGTTCTGAGCCGAGTGAGGAGCACACACTCTAGGGACAGCAGAACTGCCATTTTAATTCTTCAGGCTTCGCATGGCAACGACCCGCCTTCACGGGGATGCCAGGCTGCCTGCTTCCTTGTAAGCCAGGAAACTCGCGATGCAAAAAAGAAGGATCTCATCAAAACAACTGGGAAAGAAATAACTGAAACTTCTTATCAAGAAGATTTGTAAGAGCTAGACTTCTTCCTCAATCACTATCTGAGGATGGCAGAAACACTGAAGGACTATAAACCCAAACTTGACCTGTGGTCCTTAAGTTGGAATGTACCTTCAGACCAGCAGGGAAATGATACACATATTTGCTATTTGTTTATTTTTCTTTAGTTTTAAAGGGGAGTTAGAAGGAAAGGAAGCAATTCTAAGAAAGGCCATTATCTGTAGGCTTAGGCTACAAATCTCATAAATATCCGCAAAGATTCTATCACACAAGCCAAGTGAGGTCAATCTCTAATTGGTCACACTGGTTTATGGCCCACTAAGGCCATTTATATCCACTGTCACCTTGGGCCAAGTCTCTTTCATTTCCACTTTCATTTATTACTCCTTGATAGCTGGTCTTTGAGTAAACACTTAAAGAGAAAAAAAAATCAGTCTTTTCTAAAAGCAGACATTTATATTTTAAAGACCTGAAAAAAATGAATAAATGAACAAGAAGAGGGAAAGAAAGGAGGGGAGAGAACGTCTTTATAAAATGTAGCTTAATTTTTATTTTTGATAGATAAATGATGATTTCTTTTAAAGGGAATATCTGAGAGACTCCAAGTTATTCTTTTACCAGAAAACAATTCTTTCCTATTAGTAACTAAGTTAAAACTAACAAAAGTGATCAATAAAAATGAAGCCATGTGGATAAGAGGAGTTAGGGTCTACCAAATATTGGCACCATACAGAAATGTTCAAAAGAATATATGTCAAAATCCTGTCTAAAATAGAAGCTACCAGCTTTACACCAACAGAGCTGTGCACGTATCAAAGTACACAGTCCTCTTCTAAAACTTTTCAAGTCCAGACCTTCACGCTGAATCAAGTTCACCTCCAAAGGTTTTAAAAGGCAGTTGCTGACAAAATTCAAATAAAGTCTGAAGTTTAGGTAATAGTGATATACCAGTGTCAGTTTCTTAGTTTTGACAAATGTACTGCAGTAATGCAGGATGTTGACAGTAGTAACAACTGGGTGAGGGGTCTCTGAGAACTCTCTGCACTGCTTTTGCAACTTTTCTGTAAATCTAAAATTACAAATAAAAAGTTTCTTTAAAAACAAACAAAAAGCAGTTGTCACAAAGCAGTTGTCCCAAAGTCTCCGAATTTACCTATAAAGCTGTATTCCCCCAAACGAGCAGGAAGAAACACAGTAATCCAGAGATTTCCTACAGCAAATGTGGCCGAGCAGCTAAACTCTAAATTAAGAGGAAGATTTAATGGGAAACACAACCACTGCCAGGGGTGTCTGTGTAGGGTGTCCAAACACAGCTTGTTTTATGTGCTCCTGAAAGGCTGTTTGTAAATCAAACTGATATAATTCAAATCACATTTTGAACACAGTAAGGAAGCTTGTACATCTAAAACGCTGTTTAATAAATACCAGGATAATGGAAAGACTCATTACATAATGAGAATGACTGCATTCTCATTTCCTATTTGGGAAGGTGGCTTTGCACGGACCACCTCTGTCTATGGGGCCGCCCTGCAAGCCACATAAGCATATGCTGCCCAAGCAGCCCCTGCCCCACAGGCCTCCAAATTTCTATTTTCCCTTCCCTCTGCCAGGCCATCTTTGTGAGGCTGTGATGAACTCAGAGCTATTATGGTGAGGAATTCTGTTCATGTACAGGTCCTAACGTCCAAACACAAATCTCAGCCTCCACAATGGGCAACAAGATCAAACGAGTAGAATTCCTCCACTGAACAACAGTACTGAAGCAGGTAGATGCATGGCAATTGTCCCTGCTGTTAGTGGGGCTCACACTTAAAATTCTCCTGCTGGCCAAGGAACGGACTCCTGATGCCAGCCACACTGTTTCCAAGGCAAACCATCAGTCAAGTGGGAACTGCACCATTCCTAGAAAGACCATTCGGGATCTGATCTCAACTCAGTCAGCCCAGGTAAGCAAAACATTCCAGGACACTGGTTTCTCATCCACGGATGAGACAGCAGGATTCTGGATTCTAAATGGATAAGAGGCTAGAAAGTACATCTTCAGTAGCTCATGAGCCAACCAAACACAGTTCATCTGCTCACAGTTTTGCAAGGGCTTTGCCATTATGGGTACAAAATCTCATTAAACACTTGAGACAAAACTAATATGTGTATATCAGATTATTGTTCAAAATTATTCATCCCCCCATCACCTCCTTGGGAGGAGTAAGAGTCCTGCCCATGGACTTGGCTTTGGCTCTGACTTGCTTTGGTCAATGGCATAGAGGCTGAAGAGACCATGTGCCAGTCCTGAACCTAGGCCTTAAGAAGCCTTGCATGTTTCTAGTGGCCTTCTTGCATTCTGCACTCGCTATCAGAAACAGATCTCCTGTGTAGCTGCTGCTTCTTCACTCCGCACTCCAGAATAAAGACGTGTGGAACAAAACCACCCCAGCTGACCTACAGAACCATGAGCAAGACTAAATCATGGTGTTTTAAGCCACTGGGTTTTGGGATGGTTTATTGTACACATAATTTTGTCAATAGTTGAGTGCTATACTCTATCCTCTCCTCAGATGCAAAAGCATCAGGTACTCACCATCATCGATTCCAGGCCAGCCCATGAAGTGAGCAGAAATCTGTTTCTCATCCTTCCCATACTCATTCTTGGCTACTAACTTGTAGTCCCCATTATTCATGTGAGTGGGATTATCCAGCTGGAGGCAGCCGTGGTACTCCGTGTGATTGGTAACATGGATTTTAGTACAGATGTATTTGGACTCATTCAGTATTGCCCCGTTATAGAACCACTGAAGCGCTGGTTTGGGGTTGCCTTTCACAGTGAATGGAATGCACCAGTGGTGGTCTGAGGTTGGAGATTCGAGAAATGTGATAGTTGGAGCAACTAAATTGAAAAAGAGAGAGTTAATAGTATCAGAATGCTCAGAATTCTCCCATCTCCAGATTTCTATGTCATCGACAGGGGTTTTATTCAACCATTGTTTGGTTTAAAGAAACACATGACCAGCAACTCTGGAATCCATCAATATTTTGTAACATCATCAAGGTTGATTTAACTCCCTACAGAGAGCTTCAGAGAGACTCCTTTCCCTGCTCTACCTAAAACCCATGCATCACAGTCATTTTTCAAATCTATTCAGTGTGAGAACCAGCTCCAAACAGATCCCAGAGATTTCTGACAGTGGAAAAGGTTCACTTGAAGTCGACTTTGGTTTCTAATATGTATGCCTTGATATTATGTAGATTCATAACCAAAACATTGAGGGCCACTATTTTTATAGTACTTCACCAAATAATACAAATATCAACAAACATCAACAAAAATGACTGGAAATCTTGTCTGAAGCCCTGATCTCACATAACTTATCTAAACCACATCAAACTGATCAATGCAATAAATGTTGCTACCTATGCTGATTACTACAAAGTGTGATAAATTCATATTTTTCACTGATTGTCAATAGTAAATGCTCTTCAAAAGCATCACATTTCATTATAGTACAGCCATTTTTACCAGGATTTCAGATGTCTATGTTTTTATCCTTTAAATGTCTGGAGTCCTATCTAAACCTGGACAAACTAGAGATTATTTTAATATTAAGTATAAAGCACTTTATGCATTGGAGAAACAACGTCTTTAAATAGAGTACTCAGTACTCCTGAGTGAAGGTATTTAAAACCCCTCATAACTGTTTATTTTAATGTGGTGTGACTTTGATAATTATGCAATCAAAGACTGGAAAAGACCTTTGAGACCTAATGGCATCATTTTTCAGACTAAGAATCCCACGTCCAATGAGGGTAAGTGACTTGGTCAAGGTTACTGAGCGAGGCAGATCTGGATCCAGAACTCCTGACGCCTAACCCAGGAGCCCTGCCCTCTCGTGCACTGCTTCCTGGTTGTATGTGTTCATCACACAAAGGGGAGAAAACCACAGCCTGCTAACAAATACACTCTGAGTGGGGTCACTGCAAGGGTTAGCTCAGTTGTTAATATTCTTTATCACTTATTCCTTCTATTCTTTACCTAAACTTTGATACATAAGGTCAATTCTTGAGACCATGGTGACCACACAGATATTAACCTAAACTGAGAAGATTTTGAATTTAAGTGTCCTTATTTGTAGGTCTGTGTTAGAAACAGTAGGATCACAGTGGAGCAGGGACCACACTTACCTTCCTCCCACCAGCCCAGACCCCCGTGCCCAGGCCCCACGTATTCCTCCCACAATGCTCAAATGAGCTCTTGGTGAGGCGTGGGTGTCAGGACATAAAGTTGGAAGCTGGCTGCATAGATTTGGGAATAGCATTGACTTCAGGCTTCCAGGAGAGTCAAGATGATGGGAAATTATGAGGCCAGTACCTACTGGGCATGGTGGCAATACTGGCAGTGACAAAGGATGACGGCTGGTGACTTAGTCACTCACTCCAACAATCACATAGTGAATTGTGCTACAAGTGGACATTAACTAGTGTATTGACAGCTTGTGTCTACATGTGTGTAATGTGTAATTGTACCTACACACATGCGCATTCACGTTTTTCTCATCCAAATAGAGTAAAACCTCATTATTTATACCATGCCAGCTCAGAATTTGCAGTGATTTTTACCAATCACAGCATACATGTGATTTTTACCAACTATACATTCACACTGAATGCCACAATCTGGAATGCTGAGATATACATTGTGTTATTTATAATACTGGAAAATAATGCACATTTGCTTAAGAAGCATTAATATCCTATATCTTAGTTTCAATGTAAGCAGAAATTTAAAACAATTATAATAATAAAAGTTTTCTGCAGGTGATAATAATTTTCAATAATTTAAATGGGACTCCTCCAACCTTCCCACAGAAACTTAATGTCAAACTAATGAGGTTTAATGTATTAACAGTACAAGTGGTGTTTGTGAACAGCCAGCTCAATACTGTAGGTATCACGTCTTTAAACTTCCATGTTGCTTTTATACAGAAAAAAATTTTAGAAACTGGTTTATCAGAATTTAAACTAAAACTTATTAACAAGAGGAGGATAACCAGCTCAAAATATGTTCTATCAAAGACAGAGGAAGGCACAAGAGGACAAACTTAAGACCAAAAAAGAAGCTTAAAAGAAAGACAACGCATGAGCAAGAGAGATTAGCAGAAACAGAATAGTGAAGGAGGCTGACAACATTTCTGAATTAAGTACGCACAAAACACTGCATGGACTTTCTTAACACACTTAAGCAGCACCCAGAGTGTCCCAACGACAAAGGTAGGTGCGTCCACGATCATTTGCTATTAAGAACACATGCCGGTCTGATTACGTACAATGTACAGTGAGGTTGACAGAATCTTGATCTTCTCCTACAAGATTTTCTGCTACACAAGAGATTTGCTTTCCGCTGTCATCAGATGAAATGTTAGTTATCCTTAAGGAGCCCTGCATGTGGCTTGTTTCATTCTACAAATGAATTAACAGAGAAAAATAATCTTTATTAGGACTGATCCCAAAGTAACAAGATTTGGAGTTTCTTCCCCTAACTAGAGAAAATGATCTATAGCTTTAGAAAAGGTTTCTGGCATAAGGCTCAGGCAAAGGAGTAAACCAGAAGTTATTCTATTTCTCTAGATTTCAATCATTTAATGTGTGAAGTTGATTTAATCCTTGCATTCCTACCCACCTTCCTTCAAGGGAAAAGACCTCAAGGAGAGTCACTCACCTTGCTCACGATGACACAAAAAGCTCACTAGAGACATAGAGACTCTCCAATCTACTGGGTATACATAACTAAAATGCAAACTTGCATTAGTCTTTGTTAATTAAGAATAAATAGAAAGTAAATGTACAACAAAAACTTGTTGTAAATTTCTCTCTGTGGCCCTATAAAATATTAAATGAACATCAATAGATTAACACCATCTGAAGTTCTGAGACACTCTTGTCCCTCTATGAACTCAGAGCCAAACACAGCCTTACCATGTGTTTGGAAACCAGATTACCGACATCCCAGTACAAGTTCGGAACTGGGTCACCTGCGACGCTGCAAGATAACGTGACAGACTTCCCTTCCTCCACAGTGAGGTTAGGTGCAGCCAGATTCGCTGATGGCAAACCTGCGGAACAAGAAAACTAAATGGAGACGTATACGAATAGTCAAATGCATTATCAAAATAATAGCAATAAAATGAAAACTCTCTATGCTTTAAAATCAATAATTATTTACTTTCTGAGACTGATTTATGTTGATCTGAAAAAGTGCCAGGTTGATAAGCTTTACAGATTTAATGTGAACCCAAAATGCATGGTAATAAGATCTCAAAACAAATTTTGCACATCTCTTGAAAATATCGCAGAATCACTTTTTATTTAAGAAAACACTCATTTATGGAACTCTCTCTTCTACCTCTTTTGTATTCTACAGTTACTAATCTGGCTTTTTGCACACAAATAGGCATCGTATCTGAAGACCATGTAATCTCTTTCATCTCCTCCCCTCCACTTTTTTATAGTCAAGGACAAAAGAGTGAGAAGCATCTATATTTTTGCATAAATCCGTTTTTTGCATTAAGTAACTCAACAAATATAACCCACTACCAGACCTAGATTTTGAAAGAGTCAGAGTCAGACTATGGAAGGAAACGTAGTTTCAAAGCCTTGAACTATCACGGCATTCTCATATTTCAAAGCTATATAAATCCTAGTCAATATATTATGGATAGAATTGGTTACCCTATTGATGATATGACGAAAAAAGTTATATGGACCTTTATTCCAATGAAAAGTTCTTTTCCGGAAAAACCCTGAGAAGTATTTGTTATGAGATGAAATTGTGACCCTTATAAACATTTTTTAATATTTGAGGAGAGTGTTGTTTTATACTTTTACATTTCAAAAGCCAGCTTTGCTTTATTGACACTGCCGTCACTTCATTAAACCACCACACATACTGGGTCTTTACGCTGCTTTAAACCACAGGGGAATCATAATATTTTTTACATGAAGACAGGTCTCAGAGGTTTTAACAATATGTCAGGTTCTGCCAGTCAAGCCAGTCCCTCGCTTGGTATCAAAAACTCTGCTTGGGGCTGCACTCACTCCGACAGCTGTGTCCCACGGACTATGACACATCATTAAGTCAGAAGGAACCCAGAGGTCAGAAAAGGCAATTCATCAACAGCCGATAAACTGCAATTAACCCACCCACATAACGGTGTCTGATCCACCGTCTTCACAGTACTACGCATAAACCCTTCTCTTATGACGCAGTCCTTACGGACAAAGCCATTAGTCTTTATTACTAAAACCAAACTGGAACAAGGTTTATACAGCGTACGTCTCACGGTATCCCGAACATTGATAAAAGACTTCCCCACAAGATCTGGCTTTCAGTGGCTGGTTTGACCTCGTCAGAACTCTTCCTTCCTGTCAGCATCCAATAGAGAGCAATGTTATATCTTTCATGGGGTTTCGAAAAGGCCCCTAATACTCTGAGTTATACTAGACTATGAAGCATATACGAGTGATCAAGAGGCAGCACCGTTAACAGGAATGAGCACTGGATCAGGTCATGAGTGCCCTAGACCTTAAACCTGGTTGGTATTATGTGGCCTTGGGGGAGTCATTTCTCTTCTCTCAATGTATTTTCTTCTTTATAAAATTAAACTGTTCAATTGGAAGATCTAGCACTAAGGTCTCCTAGTTCTAATATTTGGTGACAACTTCTGTGACAATTAAGCTTCCCAATTTATTAAAAAGTATGTCAAGACAAAGATATAAGAAAGGTGCCTACTCAACAAAAAATCTCTCTGCACATGGGTATGACCTAGGTGACTTTTTTTTTTTTTTTTTTTGTGAGGAGGACTAGCCCTGAGCTAACATCTGATGCCAATCCTCCCCTTTTTTCTTGAGGAAGACTGGCCCTGGGCTAACATCCGTGCCCATCGTCCTCTACTTTATATGGGACGCCGCCACAGCATGGCTTAGCAAGTGGTGCATCGGTGCGCGCCCAGGATCCGAACCTATGAACCCCGGGCCGCTGCAGTGGAGTGCACACACTTAACTGCTGCACCACTGGGCCGGCCCCTGACCTAGGTGACTTTTTAAAAATATATTTTTAATTTGTTTTTTTTTAATCAAAATAGTCACATAGTTTGAAGAGTTTATAATTCTACAAAACTTGTTACGAAAAATATTCAACCTACTGTATGAAAAACAGTAGTCTCACCTCACACATGTGGCACTATTTCCTATTCCCCAGAGGCACTCATTTCCTCTCATTTAACTTTTTTTTTTTTTTGAGTATTGACCTCTATATCACTAAAGATCATGCTTATATTGCTAATTCTTGATTTTTCTGTTTTAACATTATCTACTGACCTCTCACCATGAGATGAGAATGAGGCTCACATTCACACAGGTCAGCCCTCCCCAATTGCCCAAACCACACTCAACATGCTCTGTCATCATATCTTTCCACGCATTATGAAGTTATGTTGTCCTGATGTAGACCTAAAGTTTATTATGAGTACATGAACCCTGTTGACAGCTGAACCACTGTATGTAATAGTTATCATAGTTTATCAAATTTAAGACAGCATTAGGATATAGCACTGTGACATATACCACTAAGAAAGAAAAAAAAAACAATGCTAATTCAACTTTGATACAATGCTTTCTCACCACTTAGACCTCCTATTATTTGGATATTGGACCTTTTGGATGTTCCATCAAGTGTTTTAATCCTTTCTCTGCTATTTTCCATCTTTTTTGTCTATTTGCTCTATTTACAGGGAGATTTCCTCAGATTTACCTTTCAAACCTTCTTTTAAGGTTTTCATTTCTCTGTCCTATTTTTAGTTTCCAAGGCTCTTTTGTTCCTGAATGGTCTTCTATTTTTATAGCACCCTGTTTTTCTTTCATGGGTGCAATATCTCTTTTGATCTCTATCAGATATTAATGATCATTTCTTTTGAATTTTTCTTCTCTCTATACCACTTTTGCTCCTTGTAACTTCTTTTCCTTTCTCTCTTTGGTTGTTTTGTGTTTGTCTTTCATATTATAAGCTTTTCTCAAACAGTTGGTGATCCTTGGCCATTCACACATCCATAAAATAATGTATTAGACGGATTGCCTATTTATTAACCGTCAGCTTCATTGAAGGGCAATATTATTGGCCTCCGTACTGGGTACTCCCTGATGTCAGTATTATTAAATCATTTTGAGGAAGGGACTGGTCAAATTATTCAGATAATGTTCTTCAAGTGTCCTGCTTGGAAGAGGAGGAAGGCTGGAAATATCAATATTTAATATGTAAACCCATCATTTTCTTTTGGTTCTCACAGCCTCAACTCTATCTGGAGTTCCTCATGACTTTTGCTTTATCCTCTTTTGAGAATAAACCTCCAGTTTTCTGCTTAGGAGGGAGGGGTCACCTGGGATGTATGGATTGAAAATGGGATTAACTGCTTCTTAACAGACTTTCAACCAATCTCCTGTATTTGGTGTTACCTGTACTCTCACTTCCTGAGCCTTGTAGAAGGTCTTCGATATAAATCAACCTTCCCTTTGCCTTTCCCCATCGCCAAGTTGGTAATCAGCATTCTCAACCTTTAAGTTAATTACTACTCATCCTTCTGTTTTCCAGTTTGCAACTCTGTGTGCTTTGTTGACTCCTCTCCCATTTTCTTTGTACTTATAGATTTATCTGCTGGTTCTGGAGGGACGATGGGGTCAGATCCTGCCATGGTGCTTACTCTTAAGGTATGACCTCCTCCATCTGCCAGACTCCATCAGTGGAGCTTGAAGACACCTCTTTTATCACCTCAAGTACAAATCTAGAGGATGAATTTCCTACCTTTTATAAATGTATCTAATAACTTGGAAATTCTAAGCAGAAAAAGGTTAAAATAAAAAGATTCTCAGTAGAGAATGCTATGCCATAATCTTAATTTCCCCTATAAAATCTCATGTTTTTTTTCTTCAAGCCTAGGCTTATATGAGTAACAATTCTAAAAATGGTTGTTTAATTACAGTAATAGTAATAGCATTTATTGGACATTCACCAAACCAGTCACTCTTGTCTAGTACTTTATTGTTTTATTTAATCCTTACAACCAATTGAAGTATTTTTCTCTCATTCAATTAATGAAGAATATGAATTTTGGAAAAGTCTAGTACATCTTCCAAAGTTGCTCAAATATCTGTAGTCCTGGGATTTGAACCCAAAGCTCAGGGTCTTCATCACTACACTATACTACCTCCCCAGACTTCATATATCCATTTTAGCACAGACCATAAATACCAATACATATCCATGATCTAGGAATTTGGTTCATTTAAAAAATAATTACGTGTCTATTTGTGAGGGAAGAGCGAGTCTCCTTTATTTATAGAGAAATTGTATCACCCTGTCATAGCAGTTTCCAAAGGAATCTGTGCAAAATTGGCCAAGTCTAGATCTTTTAAATGTAAAGTCTTGCACAAATGAGTAAGCATCTGACTCACGTTAATTCTACAGCATTAATATGCTGGCCAAAGATTCAATAATGGAAAAAACAATCTGTACTTGAAATATCACTTGAGGTTTAATTAGCGCAATAAAAATGAATTGGGAAGCATGAATAGCCAAGGCAGGATAAACCATTTGCCAGGCACTGCTTCCTGGCTTAATAAGATTTGAAATCTGCACAAGTACAGAGCACAGCTCAGCAATGCTTCCAAGAGCTTCTAGCACTATTGTAATGGGATTCTGATTTAAGTTTCAGAGCTGTCTTCCTATGCACTCTGAGAATCTCATTGGAAGTAAGAGATGATCAGCTGCCCAGGCAGACAGACACCTCCATGTCAATGTCTTTTGACCTGGATGTGTTCAGGAAGCACATACCAGCCTGTGGACCTCAGCAGAAAATCATCAACCATCCAGTGAAAAAACTGACTTTCTTTAGACCAGCGCTTCCCAAGCTTGAATATGCATATGAATCACCAGTGGATCTTGTTAAAAATGTTGCTTCCTTTCCAGTAGCTCTGGGTTGGGGCCTAAGAGTCTACACTTCCAGCAAACTCCCTGTTCCTCAGACTACACTTTGAGTAGCAGGAGTTCAGACAACTAGTGTTA